TGTTGGTGCCAGAAGTTTTCTATTGGCTTGGACATTGCTAATGCTGAAGAGTGATAGAGCAATGAAGAAAGTTAAGAAAAACAAGCGAGTAGAGGCCATTTTCTGAACTCAAGAAAGAGTAACAACCAATAATGTTAAGCAAAAGCACAGTTAAAGATGATTTGTATGGTGACATGTTGGGTTTTATTTATAGTCCATCTTAGACCAGGTTTTTCAACGGGCTTAAAAACTGTTGATTATTTTGTCAAAGAACGATGGGAAAAAAATACAATGTACGTTTATACACATGTTAGTTCACATTTTTTCATAATTTTGTTGTTTTTGTGGTTAGATTTGTGTCGGTTCTAAGATATATGCGCTTTAATTTGTTGCCTTGTGTAACACTAGTATTTTCAAAGAATGATGAGTTCAATAATGCATTTACATCTCATTGAAATTTGATTTTAAATGTTGTCAAATGTTGGTTGTGCATTAATAGACAATTGAGATTACATGTCACCAAGTATTTGTTGTCTCATTGTATCACACTTAAATCAAAAAATGTTAATTAATTAAGAAAAAAATCATAAAAATAAAAAAGTATCTGTTTTTTAATACTTTGGTGGAATATAATTAGGTTTAGATATATCATGAGGACATGAATTTTTTGGGACATGCAAATCGTATATCATACCTTATGCCTTTTTATATTGTGTTCTGTTTTGCAGTTAGCCATCCTTTTCTTGATGTTAAACGTTGGTGAAATTTGTATTTTCCCGCATGTGTAACTTGTTGGTTGTCTCTGGTTGCAAAGATTGTATCTGCCAAAGATAAAACTACGACGTATGATTAGAATATTTAAAGTATTTTACTTGGTTTTTAAATTAAGTAAAATCAAGTAATCATTTAATCGAGAAAGTAATTTTAGAATTATTTCTTTATCTCATTATAATATATTTTATTTATTTTCTTATCTGATGATAAATAGTTTAGTATAAATAGAATTTATTGTTTTATCTTTAACATATTACATCATATAATTTTCATTAAATCATTCAATAGCTAACAAATTTGTTTAATGACATTGTTAGCCGGACAATAATGCACAGTTATTGTTTAAGAAAACTACTTGAAATATGGAATAAATTAGGCTCACCTCTTCATTTTATACATATAAAAAAATTCTAATTTATATATATACATTACACTCGATAAGTATGATTTGTTAAAAAAAATGATGATAAATATAATTAAGTTAAACAAAATATGATATATTGTTTTAGAGAAGTCGAAATAGTATATGATGAATATATTTTTATTATTTTTGATTCATTACAAAATATATCAATAATTCTAATGAGATATTATTTAAATAACTCTTATACTATATTGTAACGAACAAAAAATAATAAAAATGTATTGACTCAAATGATTGATTTTTATAATGAGTGAGTGTAATATTTGTATATAAATTAGAGAGGTTGTAGGTACAGAAAACAAATGGTTGATTTTTATAATTTTACTAAAGCTCATAGGCATTAGTGTAATTTACTTTAAAATATATTTAATAACATCATTATATATAAAGAATAAAATATCTCATCATACCAGGAGATAACTTACATCCTTCCGCCAGCAAAAAAATGACATGTGTATTGTTTTGTTTAGTTTTATAAATATTTTTGTAAAAATGATTAAATGGTACACATGTCACGATTTTAGTGGCTGAAGAAGATAATTTATCTCCTTATATATATAACCATTTTTATCTTTTCATTATTCTGCAGTTTCTATGCATTTACATACACATAGTTTTTAAACTAGCAAAGTTTTAATTTTTTTATTGTAGTTAATCTCAAATTAGCCTCTATTTGGTTGGTAGAAATAGATAAGAAAGAGAAAGGGAAAAGAGAGTTTGAAGAGAAACATCAACTTTCTTTTCTTTGGTTTAACAAAGAAAGTGAGAGGAGAGAAGAAAAGTGGATGAGTCCCACACAAAGTTGCTTCTCTCCATAGATGCAAAGAAAACATGAGAAAAAATTATTTTAATATGAAATGACAAAACTATCCTCAAACTTTTGAATTTTTAAGATACTTTTTGTTTTTATTGTATGAATATTTGTGTAATTCAAAAAGTTATTTCTACCAATTTCTCATATCTTTCTTTTCTATTTCTCTCAAATCAAACAATTCAACAATCTATTCAATTTCTCGTATTATTCTTTCTCTTCCATCTCTTTCTTAAAAGAAAACTTGCATAAGAAATATTATATTTGAATACCTATAATAAATATTATATTTGAATACCTATATTTCTCATAATAAAACTTGCATAAACTTGCATAGTATTTTAAAAGAAAACTTAGCTATTTGAATACCTATAATCAATATGCAAGTAGCACCCTACTTATATTTGCATAATAAATATTACATTCAAACTTTACATACAGCATGTGACACTGTGACAGTAACTATTTAGATATCGTCGTATAAATAAAAAAAATTCAGTGTCCCACAGTCCTTATCGAATCCTGTGGTACCGATTTTATTCAAGAAAGACTCAATAAGGAAGCTACATCTCATTGAAATTTGCATTTTTAATGGCGTCAAATGTTGGTGTGCATTACTCTTTTAAGTAAGGTATTCAAGATATATAGATGCAAAAGTGGTCCACCTTATGCCTTTTAGTATTGTTTTTCCTCATCCAAATTGATGCAAAAATTAGATTTCATTGCTGCTTTGTACTTATCGATTATAACAAGTTGTAGCAATGTCAATAGTTCGGTTAACACCATTATTAGAGAGGTGATAATTGATAGATTATGTCTTATATTATCAGAGAGATAAATTATTACTTTTACATATGTGTCATCAAGTTTAAAGTATATTCTCATTGGATTTGAATATAAAAGTATCACGTCATATTATTTTTCTCTAAGAGGCTCTAACTCATTATATGTGGGGTTCTTATGTTTGAAAGTTTTCATTGAAATGTGGAGACTAGTAACTAGTTGAAGCATTCCATTGAGATAATATTAGATAGTAACCATGCGAGTTTAAAGAAGAGAGTTTGTAACCTGATTTTGGGCTCTAGGTGGTCAATACTAGAAAAGTATTCATTTAAGGAGGATGACCATATGTGTGAGGACTCATACTTTAACAAAGATTATTGGAAATTTCAAATATGAATTAAGTGTAGTGAAAAGATCTTGCATGCATTGAAAATGAATGAATAACTCAAAGTTCATATAAGTGAAATAAACCTATAACTATAATGCTTAAAATTTGGGTCTAAATGGAATAGTACTATAGGAACTCACTTTATTGGGGTTTTTCATTGACATATAGGTAAATTTCCCACGTTTTGACTCCAAAATCATAACATTTGCGTCAAACAAACATATAGCATTCTTATATATAGTAACAGGCTAGCATCATGTACCTTTTATTTTCAACATATATATCATCATCTACCTTTCATCTTCAACAAATTTAGCATATCATCTACCTTTCATCTTCAAACATTGCATCATCGTTTAGGCTTGTTGGGTATTACAAGTGTGAATGGAGAAGTCCCACATTGTGGAATAGTAGATGAGTTTAAGAGTATATAAGTGGATGGACCCAACAATTTAACCATGTTTTAGGTTTTAGGTCAAGATGTGGTGTCAAGCCCATTTATAGTCAAAGTTAACCATGTTTTATGAGAAGAAGTTATTTTATAATTTTTGAGAAGTAAGTCTCACATTAATTCAGTTTCATTTGGAAACAATTTAAATACTATTGATCTATTTCTCTCATTATCAATTGATTTTGAGATGAACCTTAACAAGCATGAAATATAGATAGACGGTTGCCCAAAAGATGTCTTTTTGTTTGTCTAATCTATAATATACTTTATTTATTTTTTTACAATACATTTTTTATTTTCTTTTACTTTTTTGTCTACTTACATGATTTGAAATACTCACTTCTATTTTTACTGATCAAAGATAGTTATTTCACAATTTATTGGCAATACCTGCTAGATAAATTAGTGGTTGAGGAAATGCAATCATTGAGAACCCGTAGGCTTAACTAAAATATGTAAACTATTCTCTCAATCTCTCTTCAGTCTTCAATATTTGAATATAACAAGAGGGGCTAACTAAGTTGTTACAAAGAGTTCAAAGAGAGAAAGAAGACATCATAATCATAATTGTATATAAATGTGTAATTCAGCATCAATAATATATATAAAGAGTACAATCAATATGACAAGCTAGTGGATAGAAAATAAAAATAAACGTTTTTCACACCAAACAACAAATACAACCATGATTCATGAAAAAGTGAACATTTTTTTATGGGCTAGTAGTAGTTGAAGGTGGTGGAGAGAAGAATGGAATGGAGGGGATAGTGGTGGGGATTGAGGGAAAGTTAGGCAATGTAGGAAGTGTTGTTGGAATGGTAGGGATACTAGGAAATGGTGGTAGAGTGATGGGTTGTGACAGAGATGGGATTATAGGCAATTGTGGAACATTATTGCCCTGAGGCAATGTTTGAATTGAAGGCAAAGGTGGCAGCAATGTTGGATTAAGCAAATTTGGTTGTGTTGTTGCTTGGAAAAGATGCCTAGTTCCTAGGCTTAAATTGATGCCTGAAAATGCCACAATAAGAAAGATAGTTATGATGAAGGAGTTGCTAGAGGCCATGGCTTAACGAATTAAAAGAGTGAAGAAGAATTGGAAGCTATGTGTAAAGAAGGATTTTACTTTGAGATTTGATGAGAACATAGATGGTGCTTGATCTTTATATATAGAGGAAAAGGGATGTGGAGGGTATTGGGTCAGCATGTATAATTTGGAGAATCAAAATGAAGCATTGCATTCTTTTTTTAGTTCAACAACATCATATTGTGGTTCCAATGCTTGTGTGGTTGGCTACTATATTTTTTTAATCCCCAAACATTCAAATGTAGGCTGACCAACTCATCTGCTTTGTAAATTACAATGAGGGAAAAGAGGTAGAATGACTAGTTGTTTGTGATTATTTATATTTATATTTGATAGATTTTGTAGCTGGAAACGGTTATGTGTGAGTAGATCAGCATTATTTTGTGCAACAAATACAAATACAAATAACAACAATCTACAATGTACAAGCAAGGAAGAAAAAAACAAGTGCCTACAAGACTAATGACCCTTAACCTTATCATCTCCACAACATTAGGAATGGGCAAGCTACTGGGGAACTCATCAAGACCTCAAAAAACCCAATCCCTGAGCCCCTCTTCCTAGGACCAACCACTGCGCCTCTCTTACCATGTACTTGCATTTGCACCACCATCCATCACCACGCCACCAGTGCTACCACCACCTGAATTCTCATTCAATGAGATCTGTTATCTCATATCATGTCTCATATGTTATCTCGCACTAATGATAACTAAATAAAAACAACAATAATGTTTTTTTAATTGACTTCACATATTTCTAGGCACCTATCAAACAGGATATGGAACAAGAGATCTTCATAATAAACCCTATACCCTTTTCTTCTTCGTGTTCTCTATCAAGGGGCAAGGGAAATGTGGCGAAAACGGGTTCCAATTAGAACCAACTCCATTAACATCTTTTGAATCACCGGAAAACCCTAACGGTAAAAATCCCCAACTGCAAAAGGTTTCAACTAACCCATCCAACGGTGGCGATCGAATCACTACAGCGTAAAACCCTCTCCTACAGCTACGGCACCGCAAGGTACACTCCTCGTACACCTTCGGGTACTCATACATAACGTAACAGTACGGACACGATGTCCAAAAACTCGCTTCCTCTGACTCAACCTGAGTCAACTCGTTCGGCTCGGTCATGGTTCCAGCTTTTCGAACCGGTTCAGTAGAAACATTTTTAGATCTAGGGTTTTTCTTTGGTTGCGGCGGGGGAGACGGAGGTTGTGGTTGTTGTGGCGGTGGTGGATGGGAAGTGAGTAACCGGAGCTCGTTGTCGTACATGGACTTATTCACTGGGTTGGAGAGGACGGACCATGCTTCGTGGACGAGAGAGAAGGCGTGGCCGGAGAAGGCGAAGGGGTTGCGGTTAGGGTCAAGTAAGAGGGCGAGACGGCGGTACTGGGCGGCGATGTGGTCGATGTTGGTGGTGTAGCGGTGGATCTGGAGGATCCCGTACCAGTCGCAGTGGTGGTCGTTGATCCGAGTCTCGCCGGCTAGGACGGTATCGATAACCGTCAGGAGAAGCTCCGACGCGTCGAAAGTCAGGTCGGAATCGCGGGCGCGGATCGCGAAGGAACGGGCCCCGTGCAAGTCACGTGCGCTTAGAAGCTTGTTCGCCGTGTAGAGCCATCGCTCAGCTTCGGCTCTGCTTCCGCCATCGTCCATGCTGGTTGTTAGAGTGCGAATTGACGAAAGGGACGCGAAGTTGTAAGAGTTCTTTTTATTTTTTATGATAAGAATGGGATGCGAGGCGAGGGTAGTTTGGTCATTTGAGATCGGAGATAAACTTCGTGGAGTTTGTGTTGTAAGTTGAAGGAAAGGGAAGTAAGTACTCTTGTGAGTAGTGACACTGTTTGTTTAATTTTGCTGTACCCTATATAAAATAAGGAATGAAGACAGATGTCTTTATCATCCGATTAAAAAGAAAATTTGATTAACATGAAGGGAAAATGATATATTTTTTTACTAAAACCAATCACTAATAAATAAACTATATATATATCACTTTTTTGTAGGTAAGAGGATTGATTACCAAGACGATATAATATTACTCAACATGAACATATGTTTTGAAAAAGTGATACTTAACTAAAGTTTATATACATCTTAAAAAACTGTTTGTGGAAATATAACATGTTTCTTTTTATAGAAAATGAGTCGTTGTGTGAGCTACTTATGAGTGGGGCCTGCATGCTATTGGCTCCCGCTCCTATTTTTGCCCCTTTCTTCGTGAGTAGTATTCTTTATATTTTTGGCTACCCAACCAAATTTCTATCTTTACCTCTCCATGCACTTGCAACAAAGATCTTAAAAGGATAAGTTAATATATCATTATGGGTAAAAATATTGTAACGCAATGCTAAGTTCGATTACTAAAATGTTGGTTCAAATATACACTACAACAATCATATCAACCATATCAGTGAAAATCAGTTGTATGTAAAGACAGTGAAAATAACTTTTTTCTCTCACTAAATGGTGCTACTATGGATGAAACACAACACTGTCACCATGTATGTACCTCTATTAAGTGGTATATAATTCAATTTCTTAATAACCTTTTTATTTAATAATTAATTAAATAAAAATTACGCATTGGGACCAGGGTGAGTAAGTAGCGAGTACGAGGGTGCATCGGTTGTCACTGTCGATGCGTATCTTTGCAAGAAGGCTACATGTACGGAAAGGTATACACTGAGTTGGCAAATGAGATGAAAAGATATATAAAATTGAATTTCTATACTTATATAATATAAGAACGGAAAATTTACAATAGTGTAGTTTAACTAAGTTATTATAGTGCACTTTTTTGAAAAATTATTGAAGTGGGGTAGTTTTTATAGAACTAGTGATTATCATGCTCTAGTTCTTTATTACTTGTATCTTTTATGCACGAGTTTTTATTATATTTTTTCTCTTCAATGTATGAGTCCTAATTTTTGATTGTTTGTAATATTTAAACAATCTAGTGGATGTAATCCAGAGTCCTCTATATGTGAATTACAGTATGTTCTTATTTTTATGAAGCACAAAAAACACGTGGTCGCATGATAAGATCAGTTATTTTGGAGGACTAGCGTTAGTGTCGTTAATTACATGCACCCTAAAGACTTGTTCTACTTTAAATATCTCTCTTGCACAAACACAAACCTTACTTCTCCACCTTTCATCAACAACCTTTTTATGTTTTCTCTCTTTCTCTTTTGTCTTTGCATTTGAATCATTTTCATTTATTTATTTTCTATAATTCAATCTTTCCATGGATGAAGAGTATGATGTAATTGTCTTGGGCACTGGGCTCAAGGAATGCATCCTTAGTGGCCTTCTCTCTGTTGATGGCCTCAAAGTAATAATTCCTCTATTTCTCTCACCTTTTTGCATATTGCATTTCAATTATCCTTTGTTTTTTGTATTGTACATTTTTTATATTTTAAAGTTACACTGTAATTGAAGTAATGTTCAGATTAATGATATACAAGAAAAGAATAATGTAGAATAGAAACTATTTCTCATCAAATATAATTTTATAGCTCATATTTGTTCACATGACAAAGAGAAAGGGAAATGATAAGATTGTATATTTGTGTTTCACTAATGATTTGGTTGTGCTTGAAGAATGCTTATTAATATGCAATTTATGATCTTACTGTTAGTAGTTTGTCTTGATCTTAGTTAGGGGATGATTCTTATACTGTTGATACATCTTTTACATTGAAAACATACTCATAATGTTGGTGCTTCCTGTTGCTTTTATTTCTATCCACTTGAATCAGGTGTTGCACATGGACAGAAATGACTATTATGGAGGAGCATCTTCATCTCTTAATCTTACACAGGTTATAATGGAAGCATATGAAATATCTCATTTTAATTTCCATGTTTAGTTTTCTTTTTCATGTTAAACTCATTTTTTTGTTGTACAGCTGTGGAAGCGATTTAAGGGAGAAGACAAGCCACCAGAGAACTTAGGCTCCAGCAGGGAATTCAATGTTGATATGATACCTAAGGTACCTGCTCTCCTGTTCATATTCTTACCTTCATTCCAACAATCAACTCGGAGAGGAAAGTTCTTATTTATCCTTTTGTTTTCGGTAGCAAAAGTGTTATTTCATTGTAATTAAAAGAATAAAGGTGTCATATTAGATTATATTTCATTTTGTTTTCGAAGCACTTGTTTGTGCAGTACTAGAGAGGATTCTTATAGTTGAAGTGTTCAGGCATTTATCTATCCATTATTTGTCTCTCTATAATATTTATTGTGAAAAGTCATTGCAGTTTGCTTTAGTTTCTATACAAGGGCTATTTCAAAGCCTTACAAGAAGAACCAGCATGTGGATTTTAATATCTGCTTATAAGTTTCCATTGTTATTCATTTATGACAAAAACCAACTTTTCATCTGTTTTATGGTAGTTTATGATGGCCAATGGAGGTTTGGTCCGTGTTCTAATCCACACAGATGTTACAAAGTATTTAAACTTCAAGGCTGTAGATGGAAGTTTTGTGTATAATAAGGGAAAGGTATGTATGTTCTATATTCACCATATTCTTCATAGTTGGTACTTTTCTTATAACAGATGTTGAATCTTAAGGAAGTTCCCACACTTTTCACCATACGAAAGTTCTTGCATATTGAGAAAATCTTGTAACAAAATTCTTATTTTTTTTTAAAGATTTACAAAGTTCCAGCAACAGATGTTGAAGCACTGAAATCACCTTTAATGGGACTGTTTGAGAAGCGTCGTGCTAGAAAGTTCTTCATTTATGTCCAAGATTATGAAGCAAATGATCCCAAATCTCAAGAAGGATTAGATTTGAACCAAGTTACAGCAAGGAAGCTGATATCGTATGTATCTACTTCCTTTCTTTTCCTTTGAATAAAAAATATTCACTTATTATAATATATCTTATCACATGATTTTAAGTCCTTTAAATCTGACATGACTTATTTTTTATATAAAAAGAAGAATTTTTCTTCCTTAATATGAACAATACAGAACAAACTAAGGTGAAACCTTATTCCGATAAATGACTTACAATATCGTGATCATTTCAGTGAGTGTATGTCATTATTTTAGATTTTGCAGCAGGTTACCACTCTGGTGAACTATTGTTCTTCTAGTAAACTGCATATTATACTTTTCATTCAATCTACTTTGCTCAATTTTTAATGGTTGCTTCAAATGTAGGAAATATGGTTTGGAAGATGATACAATTGACTTTATTGGGCACGCCTTAGCACTTCATCTTGATGATAATTACTTGGATGAGCCGGCCAAGGAATTTGTAGAGAAAATGAAGGTACTAATTTACGAATGCATGGAAAGAATAGAGTATCTTCTATGTAAAACACATATCCAGTGTCTGTATTGGTGTCATCATGATGTTGAATATTATTGAATCAAATACATTTGGCCTTGGTAATAGCAGAATCCTAAAAGATTATTATTTATTAATACCAGAAGCTGAACCCTTAATGCATTATACTATAGTGACAACACAAACTAGATGAAGATTTTCACCATCTTCTAGAATTCAGCATCAAAAATGTTGATTTTTATAGTCATATTATCCATTTTTGTTTTCTTTAAAACAGAACCATTGTCCTTCCCATTGAAATTAGGGATCAACCGAGTCTTATCAAAACAGAACCAGTGTCCATTTTGTTACATAGCTATTGAAATGTAAATTACAAAATTATATCAGCATGATAATACCTTAGGCTACCTCTGTTTCTATTTCATGGGAATTTGTGTTCAACCTTCAGTTGATTTTGCATGCGTATATAATCACTAGGTAAACCTTACAAACATGATACATGTATGTAATATGTTGTACGTTTTGTATAGCTTTATGCAGAATCCCTAGCACGTTTCCAAGGAGGTTCACCTTACATATATCCACTATATGGACTAGGAGAGTTGCCTCAGGTTATCCATATCCCTCTTCCTTCTTAAACTTAGTATAATTCAAGAACTAACTTTTATTCCTTTGATGGCTCGAAGGCGTTTGCACGATTGAGTGCAGTGTATGGTGGAACTTACATGCTCAACAAGCCAGAATGCAAGGTAAGTTCATAACCATACTTTTATCAAGAGAGTTTAACTGAATTTGGAGCCATCTTAATGAACATCATTTTCCCTTCATAGCTATTCTGTCTTGATTTCCTTCCACACATATTATCTTGTGGTACATAGGTAGAGTTTGATGGTGACGGGAAAGCCATTGGTGTGACGTCTGAAGGAGAAACAGCTAAATGCAAGAAAGTTGTGTGTGATCCATCATATCTGCCTGAGAAGGTATCTTCTGTCAGATTTCTAAGGGTGCATACAGGGACATATCCAAAGTGGGACTTTTACATATTTTTGACAATTGGTTTTATATATGTACGTGTGTGTAATATTTTATAAGAGTTAAGGAAACATAAGTGCAAAGTCAATGTTGGAAAAGTAAAAATGTTAATCTTATTATGTTAAATACATCATTTCCCAATGCGGACTTTGCATTTTTTTGGTTCCTTAACCATTGCCCTTGGCAATGTTTAGCAAAACTAAAAAGAAAACTACACTTCTCAGTATGATAAGGAGCTACATTCTCTATAGTATTTTATTTAGCTGTGGGAAATTTTAGTCTAAATGTGTGATCTTCATATGGCACTAACTAATTGATCTAACAGGTTAGAAAGGTGGGAAAAGTTGCACGTGCAATATGTATTATGAGCCATCCTATTCCGGACACTAATGATTCTCACTCAGCACAAGTCATTCTGCCACAGAAGCAACTTGGTCGTAAATCTGATATGTAAGTTTGCTTTAATCAGCTGCAGTTGTTTGAGTGTCTCTCTCCAAGAAAATAGTTATATATATTCATGTACTTCAAGAAAAGAAGATTGAAATCCTAGTAGGACCATAC